GATCCTCCCACCTCAGCCCCCCTAGTAGCTGGGACTATAGATGCATGCCACCACTCCCAGCTATTTTTTTTTTTTTTGTATTTTTTATAGAGATGGGATATCGTTATGTTGCCTAGACTGGTCTCGAACTCCTGGGCTCAAGCAATCTACCTGCCTTGGCCTCCCGAAATGCTGGGATGACAAGTGTGAGCCACCGCACCTGACCAAAAACTTTTTCTAAAGAAAACTTTTCATTTCAGTGTGACATACATCCAGAAAAGTGCACAGATCCTAAGTGCTGACCTCAACCAGTAGGAAGTTTTACAAAGTGAACACACCTATGCGACTAGCAGTCAGGCTGAGAAACAGTATTTCAAGCCACTAGAAGTCACTACCCCTCCCAGTCTGCCTCTTTCTCTCCAAGGAAAACCACTGTTGCAAATTCTAACAGCTTAAGTTGCTGTGGCCTGTTTTTGAGCTTGATGTAAATGTAATCCCACAGTGTTCTCTTAGGGCCTGGTTACATGGCTTCTTTTTTTTAATTCCTAGCACCAGTGAATCAGTATAAGTTGACCTCTGTGAGGCTAAGCTGGGCATGGGGTGGGGATGAGGAGGTTGCTTAGGGGGTGGTGGCAGATCCATAGGACAGTGGGGGGGGTCTTATAAGAGATCTGAGGGGAGGTCTCAAGGCTGTCAAGGGACCCATCCAGCAGCAGCAAAGCTGGGCTTTCCTCCTATCCCAGGGGCAGCAAATCGGGACCACTCCTGAAGTCGCTGGCCATTGGTGGCCCTGGAGGCTGTCTCAGCCCATTATCTCTGAGGATGTCCTTGATGGCATTCCCTGCCTGGATGGACCCTGGTCACTCCCCACCCCTGGCTTCTAGGACACAGTGCAGGGGGCCTGGGGAGCATGGCTGGCTGTTGGTACCTTGGAGTAACCACGGAGCTGATGGCATTGCTTCACCTGTGATTGAATTAATTCTCCATTGCTGGAGACTAAGGGAAATATTAGGGACTGGCAGCTTCTCAGAGAAGACTTTACAAGTTGAGGTGTTCACATACTAGTTAAGAACTCCTGATCTGAGGTAGCTGACTGTGAGACTTCATCTAAATTATTCATCTTTCACCTTAGTTTTTCCATCTCTAAGATGGGTGTGATGATTTCAATACTTGCCGCTTAAAGTGACGGTTGTGAGGTTTTCGGGCCAGCATTATATAAAAGTGCTTCTTACATTGTAAGTGCTCAGTAAACATTAACTATCATTGGTAGTAAAATTGCAACAGTTGGCAGAGGCTTCCTGAGGTCCTGATGTGTAAATCCTAGGATTTACCTCTGTGTTCATGGAGCTCTCAGCCAACAGAGGGAGAAATAACTCAGACATCTGACTGTGAGACAAGTGAAACAGCAGATCTGCCAGACAGAAGAAAAAGTGGCACATGCCAAAGGAAGTCCTAGGAGGTGCCTTGTTTCTAACTGCATGCCAGGGAGGCCTCTCAGAAAAGGTAGGCTTTCAGCTGGGCCTTGAAGGATGAGCAAGGTTTCTACAGCATGACGGAAGGAGGAAGGGCAGTGCTGATGAGGAGTGTCTTAGTTTGGGTTGCCCAGGAAGCAGACCTTGGCACGATGATTCGGATGTGAGCAGGTACAATATATTGGGGCAACCCAAAGTCCGGAAACACAGTGGAGGAGGGAGGGGAGGCCAGAGGGAAGACAGCCAATTAGAGCTCATCAATAATAAGTGGGTTATCACTGTGGGCAACCGGGGCTCAATCCCACTGGAGATCCTTTGAAGAACCATATAGAATGCACCCCAGGTTGCTCAGTCAACCCCCATCCCTCCTGCTTGGGTGTCCTTCCTGGACCTCCTCACTCCTAGGCAGTTCTCCCACTCACTTCCTGCCCAGCCCTTTGCAGGCCTGGAGAGCATCCTTAGGCAGAGAGATGCAGGAACCATCTGAGATGCCTGGGGTCTGCTGGGGTGATATGAGGGGGGTATCCGCCCTGGGATGCAGAAGAGTTAGTAAGTGAGGAAGGTGGCTCGGAAGAGATGGGGAGACCCTTCAGAGAGTAACACGGCTCCTGCAGGCAGAAGCAAGCCACACAGGGTCACGCTCCTTCATGCCAGGCACCCAGCCTTTATCCTTTCATCTCAGACTCCCCCAAATAGTCTGTACTGTTGTTCCCCACCTTTTGCAGATGAGGGAACCAGGCTCAGGGAGCTTACACAACCCATCAGCGTTGGAGCTGGGAACCAGAGCTGGCTGGCCCTGAAGCTCATGGTCTCTTATCCTCTGTAGGGTCTCCTTCTCTGCTCTTTTTGCCTCCCAGTGCCTTCCTCAGCATTCTCCATGAGGCAGGGGCCTCAGCAGCCCACCCCGCTGCAGTTTCTATCTAGAAGCCTGCTTGCTTCTAGAGGAGGATGAGATAAAGGAAACTCAGACCTATTAGTAGCACAAACTGCACACTCCAGCTTGGGGTTTAGTAGGTTGTAGAGGAGCCTGTGAACATGTGACTTTAGTGGTGCCAAGGTGTCCTCTGCCCACAGAGGAAGCAAGAAAGGGGGGCACCTGTACCCCCCACGCCCCGGACTCCCAGCCTGAAGTTCTCAGATTTTCTCCATCTCCTGCTATTCTAGTCACTTCTGCAAGGGTGCTGAAAATAATTTAAATTAGTGGATAAAAATACCTTCTACCGGATGCTTTCCCAGAGGGCCTCACAGTTATCACCATAGGGGAAAGGCTAGGGCTTAGGAGGCAGCTAGGAGTGAAACACCTGGAGATGTGCTGCTTGGTCCAGCAGCCGCTGGCTGCGTGTGGCTCCTGAGTCCCAGAGGTGTGGCTGGTCCAGATTGAGATGTGTTGTATGTGCAAAACAGACACTAGATGTCAAGCTGAAATGCAAAAAAACAACAAAAAAAAGGGGTGTAAAAGAATCTCAATTTTTTTTTTTTTTTGAGACGGTGTTTCACTCTTGTTGCCCAGGCTGGAGTGCAATGGCTCGATCTCGGCTCACTGCAAC